AATTTTTCTTTTTTCTATTTACTAACTTTAGAGTGTAATTTCACCACTTTAGTCAAATGAAATTTACTTCCTTTATTAATTGAAAGTTGTTTAGCAATATAAAATCTACTTAATATTGTAGGATTTATTTATTTTTTATAATAATACTAACTTATGAATTATTGTATAATATATTATTATATTTAAACTATATATTTTATATAAATATTTTTATTAATAAAATTATTATTTTTTTCAAAACAAAACAATTTAAATTTTAATAAATTATGTAATATAGGTGAACTTTACCTTGGGTGAATTTCACCACTGGTGAGCGTTAAAATCACCCTTAAATTTAATAATATTTGAATATACATAACTAACTGTTACATATTTAATACCTTTAATAATTTAGTAAAATTTTAAGTAAATCTCTTATAATATCTTATTTCTTATTAATAAAATTAATTTTTTTTAATTTTTTTGCATTTTTTTTTGTATTTTATTTTTTATTTACATTTAATAATAAAATTATAATCTCAATATATATATGATGTAAAATAATTAATTTTTCTCAAATTATAACCATTATATTTTAATATCAATTATTATTTTATAAAATACTGATTCTTTTCTATATCCTTACTGGAATTTTTTTATATATTAATAAAATATTTATATTTTATTTTAAAGATATAAAGAAATTAATTAATTTTTAGTATATATAATGTTATAAGTAATCCTTTATTAATAACTAATTGAATAGTATATATAAGATAATCTTTCTGTAAAAAAGTTAATCCATTTTTTTATTCCATTTTTTTTTGGTAAAAAGCTCATATTTTTAGAATTAATAGCTTTATTTAAAGATTTAGAATATTTAAAAATTTTATATTTTTTATTTAAATGATTAGATTTGAAGTTTTAATTTTTACAGTATAATTTTCATTATTATTATATTTTTAATTATACTTAAAATATATTTATTTGGATCAGTTGGATGAGTTTTTTATTTACCTTAATATATATTATATCTAATTACAAAATTTTAACCCTTTTTTTTCCTTATTTTGAATATTTAATAAATTAGAGTTACAAGATTTTTTTTTATTAAGTTTATTAAAAAAGCATTTTCATTATTTTTTTTATATATTTAAATTTATTAAATTATAAAAAATTTTTTACATCAGCTTAAAACTATGCATATTTTTTATAAATTATATTTTATTTAAACTAAATTTTAATGTAATGTTTAATATAGGAACTAATCTTCTATTAAAGCTTATTTTAATAAAATAAAATATATTTTTATAAAAAAAGATAAAGTGGCTTTGATTAAGATTAATAATCAATTTAAATTTTTAAATATTAATTGGATTATCTGTAAAGATTTATAAATTTATTTATTTTTTACTTAAATATTGAATCTAGATATTCATTTTAAAATTAACTGGATATAGTTAAAACAATAGAATAATTCAAATAAATCCTAGGAAATTATTCATTCAAAAAAAACTTTAATTAAACTATCTATTTTTAATAATAATATATAAGATACTAAAATTAATAAGTGTTTTTTTATTATTATATGTATTATAAATATTAGTGATTGATTTGATACAATTGAATAGATCAATTATTTAATAAAAAAAAATAAAAATGACAAAACTGAGACTTTATTCTAAAAGTATATAATGGGGTTGCCAGTGTCACGTGATTTTTTAATTTTGGCCGGAATCAAGTGATCGACATAAATATATCTTTTTGAAATCTTGTGTAATTCATTTCCCATTTTTGATAAGAAACCCAAAATCGGCTTTTTTTAGATCGTGTAACGGTACTCACGTGCCAAAAAGGAAAATTTGGCATAAATGATATTGCTACACAAATAATATCCCAAAATGATTTAGATATCACTTATATCACTTTGTGTATCATATTAGGTAATATATTTTATTGAAGCATGAAGCTTAATAATCAAAACTATGATCATATATTGATTGGATCATCTTTCACCATCATAATCACCGCAATTAGAATAGCCTCTAATCTTGCTGGTGGCATTGTTAACCAAGCATAAATAGAAAACAGAAAAATTTCATTTATCAAAAAATCCTCCTTTATTAACGACGCCCTCTCCCATTTTGTGTAGCTAAGAACCTTGAATTTGAAACTTGTTTAAAATCAAGTTTTTCCAACAAATGTATCAATATTCCACCAATTTGACATTTAAGGGTCTATTTGAATATTTAAGGATCTATTAAAAATATATATTTTTTTTTTTGTATAACTTTTACAATACAATGATTTGTTAACCTAAGGCATATTTATTTTTTTGTTTGTTTTGAACGCGTGAGAATAGACCAATTAATCTATTGAAGTGATTTGAATTGATGTTATTCACAATAAAATTAATTATAGAGCATTTATTTCACATCAGGAAACATTATACTGTTTTGGTTTTATTGAAAGTATAATTTGGAAAAAACTCCTAAAAATGATCGCAGTTATGATCAATTTTCTAACCCCATGCTTTTATTCGGCAATCACTCAATTCAAACAATTAATTTTATTGATAATTTGATGTGGATCGACTTTTAATGTTGTAAATAATCATTTAAATAGCGCGAATTGAATAGGTGATAAATATAAAATCTTATTTAAAGTTTATCAATCTTTCTACAATGGAAAAAAGATGCGTAATATCCATTTAATAGCTGATTCAAGTACTATTAGGTGACAAACAGTTTTTTTTTTAAAAAAAAAAAAAATCAAACCCGCATTTTAATTACTATTATTATTTTTTTCTTACTCGAAAAGGAATAATGAATGCAAACTTTATTTTATCTCATATGATATTATACTTTAATTTAATTGAAAAAAAAATTACATTCTATCTAAACTCTCATTGATAATCTAAAATTATCCATAAGAAAGAATCAGGTTCTAAATCGGCCTTTTAATCAAATTTTTTAAGAGATATTTCTAATAGGAAAAAAAAGAAAGTCATTTGTCCTAGATTTTCGCATATCATTGGTTATTTTTTTTTTTTTTTTTAAAAAAAAAAAAAATTACCAGTTTTGAAATTATTACGGAGATTCCATTATATTGGCGGTATTATTTCCTTCTTATTCCTTTCTCATGCTGTACATCGTTGAAATTTATTAATACAATTTTGTAACTTTGACTTGGACTAATATTGTACGTAACACAAACATTTATGTTGTGCAAATATGCAAATCGTCATTCGTGCGGAACGGGGATAATTATCGATAATACATCAATTATAATTATGTAATATGTGCTTTATTAAACTTAAATCAGTTAGCTTATCATATTCGAAAATTCACTATGAATATCCTATTAAAGAAAGATAATTCTAGAACTTGCGACTAATATATATTATCGATAATAACTAATAAAAAATAAACCATATACGGTATATATAAAATAAAAATGTATATCTCCTTACATTTATAGGAAAGATAAACATTATCGAAAAATAATAACGAACTACACAAAAATAGTACCTCATAAAATTTTACCACACTCTTAGAAAATAAAACGAATAGAACTGGTATTCCTCGAAAACAACATTATAAAATACGCCATAATCAGATTTTGCTTATTAACGAATTCATGAAATTAGAATAATAACGATTCGAAATATTTGACTTATTTGAAAATTAGATAATCGAAGGGAAGATATTCGAATATTAGAAGGATATAATCTAAGGGAAATTTGATCCATTATAGAATTGACTTGCGAATAGATTGTTTGTGTTTTGCCTCGAAAATCGTCTAACACGATTTAATAACAACAACGTATAAGTATTAGCATGTCTTAGTTGTCGACGTTCTCTACGTTTACGAAGGATAAAATTTACATAGAACGATGGGTCGATCATAGAATTTTGCTCAGAAACTATATCTTTTCTTTGATACGGAGAACTATTAAAAGTGATAGAAGAAAATGACAAAAATTAAAAAGAGAGTTAGTCGACAAGAGGATTTGGTTCATAGACAAATAATTTTTGCCGCTTCCAATTATTCTTCAAATCCCCATTTCGTGAACCTCGAAAAAGGATGAGGTCAATCCTGTATTTTATTGGACGCATCACTTGAATGTTACACACTGCTAAATATTTCTGGTTTATACGTGACTCCTTTTGTACCAAAAATAAAACGACTTTTTCTTACCACTTTAAAATCTCTGGAGAAACAATTTCGTTTTCACTATTTATTGTCTTGGCAACATTGTTACTTCTTCCGCGTTGAGATTGTCGTGATTGTTGAACAACTTTTTGAGATAGCTGTTTGGAATACGAATGTCCGCCGTGTTCTTCACGTAATTTTTCTTGTTTCATTTCTTTTTTCTTTTTCTAAAGAATTATATTTCTGTACAAGAAATTTTTTTATTTTTAAGGTCAAAAATTTTTTTAAACGTATCTATCTCGTTTTATTCGATTTTCTCGAATTTTTTTTTTTTTTTTTCTTCAAAGAGAGAAACCTTCCTTTTATTTACTAATATATGATATCACATAAAAGGAGAATTAGTGGAAATTTTTTGTAAGGAATGCTTGATAAAAGAAGTATCGTACTTCAAAAAATGAGTGTTTTAAGAAAAAGATCGTTAAAGGCAGGAAAAAAATTTTTTTCGTTGATAAAAAAGTGTCTGGGTTTAATGACAAAGAATCAAAGAGGGTTATATATGTGTATAATTTTTTTTTTTTTTTATTATATAGTAACAATATAATTTATAAGCATAAACCTTTTTAAGAGTTGACTTTGAAGAGATCATTGATTCTTTATTTACTGTATTGTTTGTTGTTGCCAGCCAAAAGTAAAGTTTCACAATTATTAATTTGATTTTGTCCATAATCTTAAAAACGACGACTTTCTTTTTCTTAATAATTATCACGAATTTTTTAAGGCAAATATCGGTAAGACGGGGATAAGAAAAATTTTTATATAGATTCAAATCATAACATAAAGATTATGCAGGGTTGGGGACATTGTATGTACTTTACTGTACTTGTATTATATTTTATTGATATTAGTACTCCAACCCTGCCTATAAGTAAACATGGATAATAATGGAATAATCATATTATACTATAGATAATCATCGATAAAGCACTAAAAATGTGACAAATGACGACAAAATCAACATATAAAAATAAAAAATAAATAAATAATTTTTATAAATTTTTTATCCGAACATATTTATTTAAAAAAGGGTAACAAGTATCCTATAAAAAATTTCATCCGTAATTTCTGTAAAAACTCCGTGAATATGATACATTTACGGAAATAACAACTGAATAAAGAACTTCAATTTTTGTTTTAAAGACAAGAACAAAAACATATTCCTTTCTTTATTTAACGAGTGATATTTCTGTAATATTTCCAAAGTTTAAAACGTTAGAGGGGTAAGATGATTTAAAGGTGCTCGTCACGTAAATGAATAATGTAAAAACCATCATACTGTCGATAACAAGTCAAAAAAATCAAAAATATGTTTAACAAGAATTCTTATTAAGAAAAAGATGGGAAATATGAGATGAGTAAAAATTGTTTGTCGTAAAACTTCGGAAAAAAGAATATATTTTTGAAAATAGAATTTTGGGAGGAAAGGTAAATGCTAATTAATAGCATTTAATTATTATTATTATTTTTATATTATTTTAAGGAGAAGAGAATTTTTTATACAAGAATTCCTGGCCTAAACAATTTGTAAATTGTAATAAATTAAATTATTCAATGCGGTAAACGTAATAGTAGTGGGTTCATAACTTACATTTCTGTTCGCATTGTATCATACTTGTAAATATTTCAAACTTATTCAACTTTCTTTCTTTTTGCCGTCGTTAAAATTTTTAATTTGATATTACAAATAAAGAAATGTTGACGCAAGAAAAAAATGTCAATAGTTACCCCTATAAAAAATTTTTATCCGAATATTTCCGTTATTTCTCCGTGTCTTCCATAAAAATTCCGTGAAATGATATATTCACGGATATCCGTGTTAGCGAGATGAAAATTTCCATGATTTATGGCTATAAATTCCATTAAAATGATACATTCACGGAAATAACATGGAAAGATAAAACACGGATCAGATTTTTTATAGGGATACATAAGGTATAAAACAAAGAAAAAAGGGAAAAAAGAGAAAAGGGAAAAGCAAAAAGGTACATAAATTAAATAAATACAAATATTTATTTAACGAGATTCTAAAAGGATAGGGGAATTGGAAAAAAATTTTTATTTAGTATATTTACGAGTGTCACGTCTTTTATTTTATCACAATATCGATTTAGGGAGAAGGTTTTCCCGTATAATATAATCGGCGGGTTGCATAATATCGAACTTAATGCAAAAAGCAAAAAATCAATTGAACTTTATATGTGTATAAAAATAAGTTATACGTTTGTTTACAATAAAATTTTCTAATTGGTGCATTTCTCTCATCTATATCGAAAAAAGAAATACCAAACACGTGGTGAATTTCTTACAGTATTCACTAATTTGATATACAGGTCTATATGTACAATGGCATCATGCTTATCAGTTATTATCTAATTATTGAATTTAAAAACTATACACGAGACATTACATTGATGTAAGATTAACAATTAATGTTATATTAATAATTAATATCTGATATTATCTAATCTGTTGGAAAGTATGAATGAAAAGTATATTATTATGATCGTTCCGATCCGTATATTACTTACTGTATTGCACGGAAATGATTTACCATTAAAAATCATGCCCGTGCATTAGTACAAAAATAGGTTATTAAAAAGGTAAAAAAGCACAGATCTTTTGATTTTTAATTTTCACAAAATGACAAAAAGACCAATTATAGAATCATTTAAAAGTATTAAAAAAAGTGTCATTGAACAATTGTAACACAAAACTTTATGTAATATTATTTAAGGAAAATATGTTAGTTATCACAATGTGACACAACCCCCCAATTATCACCCATTGAACGATATTAAAAAGATCGTCTGATTAATAAAGATTTGCTATCATGAAAGATCCGCTCTCATTATCATTTGTTCCAAGCCATTCCATTTTTGATCACAAATTTCTTTTTTATACATGAAATGTTTCATGGAATAAAAAAAAAAACTCTTCAATCGAATTAGTTTATTTCGATTTATTTATTTATAGAGGATCAATAAAGTTGTTTTATTATTATTTTTATTTATATAATATTTAATCGAATATATTTATATTTAATAAAAATATTTTCTCATGATTTTAGGTTTTTTATTTAACTCATTCCATTTGGCCTGGCTATACGGTGCATAAAAACGATTGATCACAAAATTTAAACAAAAGGTTTTAATGAATATAAAAATATATATATTAAAATACAATATGCGTGGTCTTTTCTTATTGAGAAGAAATACTTGTTGCACAATAGGCTACTAAAATAAAAGCACGCTATTTCGAAGAATTGATAGAAGATGATTTCGTCTTCGATGAGGCTATTTTTACCAAAGAAATCAGTATATGGGGCGAAGACAACTATTTCCCGACGTACGTAAACTTTTTACGCGAGAGCCATAAAAAAAAAGATCATATTACCTACTACGCAGTAATTATTGCTAGTTGCCATATAAAAAAAAAAGGTATAGCGGGAAATTGAACTTCAGGAAATTAGCATTCGGTAAATGCCGTTGCTTTAAAAAGTAATTATTTTTGTTCCACAATTTGTTAAAGAATCATTACACGGAATTTTCTTACATATTTGAATTTCGCATGATGTGATATTATAAAAAAATTAAATAATGAAGTAAAAAAAAAAGAAAGAAAATTAGAATTTTTTCTTTAATCATAAAAAAAGTTCTAAAATTAGATAAACAAGTTTTTTTTGATAACATTTTGATTTTATTTACACAGCGTTAATATTATTAAATTATGAATATAAATTTCATATGCAAAAATTGCAAAACACAAATGCATGCGTAACACATCGCACAATTTTTTCGATCACAAGCAATTGAGTTTTTTTAGGGCGTAACTTTAAATTACGTAAATAATAATGATCGTTATATGAACTGATATATGCGTCATCTCACGTAATTCTTCATTAGAACTTTCTTGAATTTTCTCAATAACAAATTTTTTAACGCGCTATTGTTTGTTCTCTTTGAAAATTATATGTAATATTATATTATTATTCATGTTGTCACTTATCAATCTTTCGCGTGATTGAAGTAAATTAATTTTTTTTTGACGTTGTACCCATTACATTCATTACGTTTATTCGAAGAAATGAAACAAATGATTTCAATGGACAGTTATTACGTAATAACCCCTGAATATATATTTTTTTAAGTGAATGGAGATTAATTTGGTTAAGAAAAGTTGAGGTTATACCACTGTTATACCACTATAAGTCTATAAATAGATTAGTGCAAAAATAATTTTGATCACGTGCAACAACCGTTCATAAAAAATTACCCCTAAATATTTTTTTTTTTTAAAAAAAAAAAAAATTGAACATGCAGTACGTGTATTTTTGTCTGTTCTGCAAGTTCNAATTCTCGCACAAAAAAAAATTTTTTTTTTCTTTTAATAAAAAAAAAAAGTGAGTGTGAATAATGAACAAAAGATTCGCAAAGAACTCGAAAACATTCTAAACTAGACAACTATATCAAAAAAAAATCGAATGTCTTTCAGCCACAGTAGACAAAAAAATAATAATAATAATTCTATTGTAGTTATAATATCATTAGCAACAACACGTAGGAGAATAATATGACAAAAGTTTTTTATGATATACAGTATAAGTTTATTCTATCAGTATCATGTATATGTATGTATGCACAGGTGGATTTTTTTGTTTCTTATTTTTCCAAAGTTCAACGAATCTGCTTTGAGAAGATTTTAGTTTGTGGTACTCCGTAGTTTTTTAAGAATTGATAAAAGATTTATCTTTTGAACCGCTTTTTATGACCTTGTTACGCCGGAGATGCATTTATCAAACCAAGCAATTGCAAAGTAGTTCGATTAAAAACTGTTCCTAATGCTGAAGCTTTGGATTTGAATGTTCCTTCATTTATAAAATGTATTAAACCAAAAAAAACAGGCCTTTAAACTGCAATATCACGTAAGTTTTTGGCAATTATTTTAGCATATTAACATTATGAATCAACAAAACTAATTTTTTTAATTTATGTTAAATAGGTAAGGGCGGATCAAGATGTATTACATAAACACACTTACTCACATAATTGGTTTGCGTGTAACTTTGATCCTGAATGATTTTCCATAGCTGTACAATTCTTTTGGGACTGGAGGTTGACATCAAGATATTAAACACGACTTTAATTGTAAAAGTAAGCATATTTTACCTGTTCCAGTGATTCCTCTGAAGATATAATTAAGTGATCGTTTAAGTACGTTATTATCCTTATTTTTTGCTAATTCAGGCATTTTTACTGACCACAATAGAAGTAATTCACGTCCAAAAGCACTTCAAGCAATAACGACTCTTGGCCATATTATCAGAGCCAATTTTCAGTGATGCTTCAAACAATGATGTTGGCCATAAGCTAAAAGAAAATTACTTGATTTTATGATCAAAATCTTAAAATCTCAAGCATCATCGTGGGAACCATTCGCTCGTTTTTGAACATGTAAACGGTGGAACATTAAGAAATTATTTAAGGACCAACACTATGACCTTTAAATGGGAAAGAAATTGCGGGTGCAGTTTCTGATTACATCATAATAAAGTTATTGTAAGTATAAATTATAAGTTATATTTCATTCTTCCAAAGGAAGGTTTTACTATATCGTGTAATCAACGCGTTCTTTTTTAGAATCCCAATGATATTTTAATATATCAACGAACGATAAAATTAGTTGATTTTGGATCTTCACGTCTGCAATTATGATATTTGATTTTAACCGAAAAATCCGACATATACAGTTTGGCATTAGTGTTCTAGGAAAGCTGTTCACATCTTTTGATTATGAAATGAGAAAAAATGATTTGGAATTTATGCTTGAAATTCTTAATGGTGAAAGAGAGAATCCTATACCAAATACAAATAGTAAATTTGTTGTACTTTACAAAAGTGAGTATAAAATTATTGCCAAGTTATGCTTTTGAAATTAGTAATTAAATACACTTTTATTTTCAGTATTTTCTTATCACGTCTAATTTTATTAATTAAATAGGATGATGAGATGAGAAATACGAACCACAGATGTAAGACCGAAGTGATTTCAATAGTATAGAGAAAAAAGTGCATCGACAAGTAATTTAGAAAATCAATTGCGAAAAAGAATGTGATTTAAATTCCAATGGATATCAAATTATAATATTATTGCGATGATTGTCAAATAATCTTACAGTTTTCGTTTATTCATATTATTAGAGTAACGGTTAGAAATTATGTTATTTCTTTTATAGATATATCTTTAATAGATTTATATGTTCTTTTTCTTTTGATTTTCTTTCGTTTATAGTTTATTTTACTTTATACAAACAATCATTTTACAGAAAATTGTTCTTTATGACTTATTGATTATTACGACGAGTAAACATGAGAATAGAAATTGGTTCCTAGTTATATGACAATGGATATTTGTATTATATAAAGTATCAAAATAATAAATTGGAAATTGAAAAAAATGTAATTTACGATTAGAATAGTGTTATTTTTTATGTTTAAGACGTCAAGTAGAAATATATATCTATTACATTTTACTCCATAATTTTTCTAAGTTAACTTTTAGTTTCACATTTTGATATTCTGCGTACAAATTTCTCCATCATAATAAATCAATTTTCAGTCTTTCAGTTGGTTAATTTTAGTTTTGAGTAGTCATTTACTGGGAATGAGCATTAAATTTAATGAAGATCAAACTTATGATGCCAGCCAGAATTACAAATTTATCAATATAATTAATATAATTAATATAATATCACCTGATCTATTTTATTTATTGAAATTATATAATTATTTTGGCCAGAATTATAAGATCACATGATATAATTTTAATAAATCATACCTTAAATGATCCAAAAACAATGTATTAAACTAAATAGACTATTTGTAATATTACACTTGTATATTATTATAATTTTTTCATAGACTAATTAATTAATAGAATTTTTTTTCATTTTCTTATACTTTTATACTTTAACTTTTCATGTTTTTTATTTTAAATGTTATTTTTAATTTTTATATTTTTTTTATTTTTAAATATAATTTTTGATTTTATTTTTTATTTTCAATTTTTATATTTCTTATTTTAAATGTATTAATTACTTTTTAATTTTATTTTTTTTTATTTATTTTTTTATTTATTATAAATGCAATCTTATTATATTTTATTAATTTATTTTTTATTTTTTATTTTTATTTTTAATATATAATTACATTATATATATAGAAGTAAAAATATTGGTTATTTTATAGAAGTAACTAATATATTACTCCATTCTTCCTATTTAATAACTGTATATGTTATTATATATATCATTCAAAATCATAACTATCTTAAATTGCATTAATATTGCTAAGAACAAAAGGAAGTTTTACTGTAGAATAAACAGTTTTTCTATCAAATGTAATTTATAGATATTTTATACTTTTAAATGCCAAATTTATTATATTATAATTAGAACTACTCTCAAATGAGATAAGTGCTAAGAAAGGGATCAAATCAACAAAAAAATTTTTTTTTAAAATAACAAATTTTTTTGGATTAGATGATCAGATCTATAAACTTTTTTTTAAAAAAATTTAATTTGATCCCTTTTCCTAGTATTTAAGTATTGTTACATATGAATCAATTTATGATACGATATGACCTTAATTGATTCTAAAAGGTAACAACATTTTTTGTAAATAACTTTTGATCTAACAGTTTAATTTTAATGATATTTTTTATTTTAATCAAATATTGATTAAAAAGATCATTAAAATTATCAGATTACTAGATTTTAAGATAATATTTTTTGGAATTTGAATTGAGTTTAAGTTAAGTCTGAATTGAATCAAATTTTAGAGAAAAAATTTGATTTGTATAAAATACTACACTCAAGTATAACTATAATAACTCTAATATAATTATGCTGATGTAATATAAATTTTTTTTCATGTTAAATATTTAACTTTTTTTTTTAATATACATATTGAAAAATTACTAATATTTGAAAAAAAAATAAATGCTAGTATGCTACAGATATTAAAATAGATTTAATAAATCATACTTATAATTATTAAAACAATAATTGCAATTTCAGAAAAAGTTCATTTTTTTCAGTTTTATTAAATACTTTAAAAGAATAAAATTCTATTATTAATTTTCAAAACTTATTCAGTTTGTAATTTTTATCATTAAAAATAATCTAAAATGAAATCATTAATAAAAATAATATTACAAACAATAATATAAAAAGTATTTATATTTAATATATTTTTAAAAGGTTAACTTAAATAGGATCTCACCTACTATTAAGATATGTTACCAAAAATGTATATAGAATTTAATTTTGGAGTCTGTATAGTAGTTTTGCTAAGTTTTATTTGAAAAATAAATACATACAATTTTCTCATTAATGGATTATCATCTATTTTTGGAAATTAATCTGCAAATTTGATCACGTGCTGGAGATTTCTTGGGAAATGATTTTTGTGGCGCATTAGCCTCATTTGCTTTCTTGTGTAATATTTATCTTGGAAAAATTTTAATTGAAATTTTTTTTCGCTTTTTGCACCTTTAAAATATTAAGAAAATTAAATTTTCATACTTTAAAGTATAAAAAATATTGATTTCATATTTTTGTTTTTAAATTAATAAAAAAAAATTATTTGCTTTCTAAAAGTTTGATATTGTTTGGGTGCTAAAAAAAAAATATAATTAGTGGACTAGTTCCTCTATATAATTTAAACAATAGGAATGTAATTACAAGATCACTTTGTACTGTATGATTCACTTTTTATTATGTAACCATAAAGTCGCACTTGCAATCTCTCTTGCAAATCTTACTTTAAAAATATTAAGTAAATTTTTTCGCGGGTGGTTTTATTTTTTTTTCCGAAGATTATACGAAATCAATCAATCAAAATTTGGGCACCACACTGTAGATTACGTGACCGAGCTTTTTTTGTTAGTTATGCTGGAGGAGTTCGCAGTAAGATTAAAATTTTCTCGCCCCAGTCAAGTAAGTGAAGTATTCATTCCTATGGATGTTTTAAAATTTTTCTTTTTATGAGTCCGTATAAAAACATCAGCACAGATCTTTACTATACGATCTGTATATAGTTTATATTTTTCGTTGCAAGCGATTTATCTTTATATATTATAATGCGATGAATGATATACCATTGATTTTCTTTAGATTAGTTCAACAAAACGGGTAATAATATCTAATAATACAGAGTTTTTAATATTCAACTCGAGTTTTTAATAATAAAAAACAACGTATGTCTTCTATCATTAATCTACTTTCTGTTATTATTTTTTAATTGATTCTTTACTTTATCTTTGTAGTCGAGTTTTATAAAATGGAATGGATCGATTCAGAAATTACTCTATAGAAGGAATACAATAATAATAATTGTCTGGAGCGTTAGCGAAGGACTATTTACCGTACTGAACTAGCAAAATTTGTTTTAACCCCGGTTTTGCCCTGTCACAATAGACAATTTTGTTTTCCTTTTTGAATATGTATCATGATTTATGTAACACTACCTATACGACCTCTGAAATATGGCACTATATGCACGTAGATCACGTAACACTTGTGAGTTATGCAACGCCGAGGACTTAAACGGTTTCCGTTTTCCTAGTTGATATTAATCAGTAATACTCATATGATGTGAATATATCTCCAGCATAACTTTTTTTCAAACTGATATCTCTATTATGGTTTTCATGAACATTAAATGAAATATAAAATATCTGTCATGTATGCCGTAAAGTTCTTTTATCTCTATGTGTAATATTTGTATTTGAAGAATCATATACTGTGTGATTAGGCTAACCAATCTTTTTGGCATCGAAATATTTGCATGTGTAACTGATGATGCGATAATGAGAATTGCTATTGTAATTCATTATTAATAAATAAAAGATGCTGGAACATTTGGCATTAATTTTTTGCCTATATTACCATAATCAGAAGCGATTATAGTTAAATTACAAATAATAATATATTTTATTAAGGAATTGTAAATGATCGACAGATTTCTTTAGTTAAAACCGGTTTAAACAGATAAGCTAAATCATTGTCATTTTTGTAATTCATCCGTCGATATGCAGAATGCATGTGATAATTTTGGCGCTGCTAGATGGTTAATATGCAAATCCGGCGGAAATGATGTTATTATTTTTCACAAAAAAAGTTTATTTATATTTGCTGTTCACACTCAAATCCAGGTAAACCAAATTTGTTTGCAATAGTCTCGCGTAAGTCCTCGCTTTCTTAACATTCTGGTACATGTTTAGTTATCTGACTATTTACGTTTAAATTTGTAGGATTATTTCAAGTTATGTCTAATAACAAATTTATCACATATCCGGTTAAAAGAGACCTAAATGTAGAATGGGAAAAATTTTCAAACATGATAACTCATAAAGGAGAAGTCTTTCGGAATGACTTCTCCATTGATATATACAAGCGAGATGAGCAAATTAAGAATTGGCAACTTAGATACAAACAATATGATTTGTCCGATAAATTGAATGATTGGAAGAATAGTAGACTTGACTCTAGAGAATCTAAAAATTTTCGAAGAGAGTTTATAGGGCCTCTTAAAAGAGGCAGAGAACTTAGCTGCATTTATCTAAGTATGGAAATGAATGAGTCTGCTGATGAACTGTTATGCGTTGAGCGCCATGGAAAAATCTCCATGAAAGCATTCAATCCTAGACAAAGTAAAGTTGATCTTTTTGTAACAACTGGTACCACATTTTTAAAAACATGGAGTCTGAGCGAGTCTGCGGATGAGTGGAAAAATGGATATATTGAATCGCCAGAAGAAAAAGAATGCATTCAATTCATAAAGAAGCATCCTAATGAAGCTGCTGCACTTATCTTATCCAAAAATGATAATAGTTTTAAAATAGTCTGGAGTTAATGTAGCATTCACTTCCTTTTCTTCTGCCCTTTTTTATTTGTATGGTATTTTTCAAATCAAAAAATGATGAGACTTAGTTATATACCACGAAATGCAACGAAATCCACCACCTTAATTGTGATACAACTAAAAAGTTACAAATAATAATTATAATTATTTTCCGTGAGAAGTAAGAACTTTACTCATTTTTTTGGATGAATAGTTTAGGTAAAATACTTTGATAAATTAGAAATGATGGTTAACTCTAAGATAATTCGGAATAAGATTGCATACAAAGCATTATATCATATTTGTAAATATTCCAAACTTATTCTACGTTTTTTTTCATTAAATTTAATAACTTGTATATCATTTAAAGTATTTTATGGATTTTCTGCTCCATTGAACTGACTGTGACCGTCTTTAATGAGAACTGAATATAACCGGAATTCCTGGCCTGTTCACGTTCTATATTAAATTGATACAATTGGTGCACTTGTGTTATGACAACAAGCAAGATATACATACCATTGAGGATTGTTCCCACATCGGCCATCCCAATATGGTCTTTATTTTAAATAAGAAAAAAATGATTGAAAATAAAGAGTTAAAAAAAAAATTTGGTCATATGTCGATTGTCGAAAGTTTCTTTTAAAATTAAAATTATTGAGCCGGTTATTTGAGAAGTTGAGATTGTTCCTTTTCGTTCATGAACTGTGAAATGGGATGATGATAATAGAGATAATAAAGCTTGTTGAAGTATTATCATAAAAAGGGATTATATAATTATATTATGTAAATGATCAATGTGCACTGTTAACATTTGATTATTGGACGATCATTGACTTATTTAGCAATAGTATGACGTAGTAGATGAAATGTGCTACATGACATGGATCTTATTTTGTCTCAAGCAGTTCATCCCGAAGTTTAGCCACCAAATTTCCCCCTTTTTAACTGACGCACGCCCAGGAATAATTTTAATGATCCAACTCACAGATAAAGGTTAAACAAAATAATATAAATGAAAAATTTTTATCATAAAAATTAGTCTTACAAAAAATAAATAAGCTTTGGTCACATGTTGAGAATTTAACTCGGTAAAGTATAAATTATATCGTTATATTCGGAGAGCAGTGGCGTAATTTTTATTTTATTCTAAATTATGGTTTACAGAATCATACCAATGTTCTGATATTTTTTTGAAATCTGCGTAAGTGAAGTATTTTTAAAGAAAAACTTTTTTGTAACATTAAAGAACAAGAAATAATTTATTGCGGTGAAAGTATATCATATAACAAACGTTAAAAATATATTAGTAACTTTTATATAACAAAATCGAAAGCACTTGTTAAATGTACCTCATTTTGTTGTTTTATAATATTTATTTTTTCCTTTAAAATGAAATTGGATTAAAAAAAATATCTTTTCTTCTTTTTATAATCTTTTCTTCAATAAAAAAAACTAGTATAATCGAAAGAGAGTACTAGTAACCACACAGGGTTTATTGTTTTTATTTATGGGGTAGATCTCGTTATGAAATTTTTGAGTTTTATTTTTTATAATATGTACACTGTACAGCATATAAATCAGTGCACCGCCATTTTGCCATTTTTTAAAATTTGCATCGATGAACAAAAAAAAATTTTAAAATAAGATCAGCGAGTTGCATCGATAATGCGGATTGACAATAAATATTCCCATATGAAATGAACGGTTCCCGGTTTTTATAAACGTATATTCCCAATAAAAAGGTCAAGTAACCATATGTGGAACGGTCTAAGCCTTTCCTTATTTGGTAACAAACATCCTTATTTGGCAATAAATTATTTGGTAATAGATATCCTTATTTGATAATAAACAATGTTGATCTGTAAGGAACGCGTGTGATACAAAGGTATCCCGTATCCATACATGTTATAGTAGTATCCAAAAAGAGAAAAATATTCGAAGTATTATTTATACCAATTATTATTATTATTTTTTTTTTTTTAATTATTATTTTATCCCTTTATTAATTAAAAATATTTATTTTAAGTAATATAAATTTATTTTACCAATTATTTATCCCTTCCCTTTATTAAGTAAAATAAATTTATTTTTACCAATTATATTATCCCTTTATTAATTAAAAATATTTCGTTTGAAAAATCATATTATACACATTTCAATTTTAGATTATGCAATTTAACTTACTTTTTACAACTCCAGCAAATATTTACAGATATGTAACATCGTTATCTATGTTCTTTTACGTTCATATTGTTATATATTGTAACGTCGAAGCAAGTTTATGCATCACGAATAATAGGAGTAAAAATTAAGTTATGAGTATTAAAATTTAATTGGTAAAATAATTTGAAGTAAATATAGTAAATATGCAAATATAATTTTTGATTACTTGTTTGTGATTGGATGATCTTAACATTACCTATTATCACACCAAATAAAGGCTACTGATCGCCAAAAATAGTAAATAATTTTTAATTAAATTAAATTTAAATTTCCATAAAAATTTCAATATGCCAAAAAAAAAAGGAGAGAGTTACATATAGTTTGTTATTTACTGAAGATAGTATAGTCATATGAAGAAAAAAGAAAAAAGTTTAATTTAAATCTAGTAAAAAATAATAATTCCTAATATGACGTTATGAAACTATTTACGCCATACATAAAACCTCCGCAAAGATTGATGGATACCTGCTGCTACCTGTTTGATCAGCATATATTTTATGAATTTATGGGTAATTTACTTTTGAAGAAACTAATCTAGAACTCATTAGTTAACTTAGAAACCGGATGCAGGGCCAATGATATTCGGCATTTAAAATTCACAATTTATTTTTTTTCGTTCATATCATTTATTCAGATGTGTTACAAAATCGCGCATAACTAGCAAAATTTACTTTTGCTACAAAAAAAAACAAAAACTTTTATACTCATAGAATTCATCTTTTAGCGCCGTAAAATAATAATAATAATAATAATCGACCTTATCATATGGCTGGTTTACATAGCTTTCATGAACTATTTTATCTCGTAATCAATTTCATAATTTTTATTTATATTTTTTTGCCTTACTTAAAAATATTAATATTTCTTAATTGGCGTTATTGGTTTTCGAGATATGTATTTTCGTTTTCTATTTATTTTCTTGTTACAATAAATATATAAATATGTTACTATTTTGCATCAATGACATTTTTTTCTAATATTGATGTGCACCTGTTGTGGGATCATACCGTCAGGTTCATTAAGAATATTAAGAATACGATTTATTTAAAAGTATAAATAAATACGACTTTTATCATTGTTCTATTTTTAATCCTTTCCCTTGTTGGTTAGTTTAGTTGCTGCGATTGGATATATCGATTGGTGCATAAAAGATATTACTAGCGTTATTGTTTTTCTAACACTGATGCGCATCTGTTGTGGCAGTTTCATCGCATTAGTACAATGTAGTCCACTAAGAACGCCTAATTCACTAAAAGGTATAAATATCATACTGGTGTAGACGACTTTCATCATTACTTTTATTTGTAATTCTTTCCATTATCAATTAATTTTAATTACTGTAATTAAATAATTTTTATTCTTTTCATCATGATATGGTCAAATAGAAATTTTCTTTTCATTACGACTGGTTTAGTCGTTTTGATGCTTTTTTTCTCGTCGTCAGTAGCAACTAATAACCATCATAAACACTGCGATAAAGTAGTCAAGGCACACCATTATACTAGAACCGTTTATCCATCACATTGCCCAAAAAGACACACTAAAACAACCACAACTACATCTACCGCTACCGCAACTACCACCACTACAAGCACCACCACCACCACCACCACCACCACTACCACCACTACCACCACTACCACTTTCGTTGAGCCCACTGGACCATTTCGAAAGAGGCATAATCAAGAACATGAACATTTTAAATGTGTTCCTGATAAACATAAACATTATACTTATAATAAACATGGCAAATGCACAGAAATCACCTATTGTACTCCAACAGTTTATAAACCATGTCCTAAAAAAAATAAAACCACAACAAAAACCGAATTTGAAACCACCACCTCCACTGCTACCGCCACTACTACTTCCACTTCCACTTCCACTTCCACCTCCGTTTTAGTAATACCCACATGTAGGGCTAGTGGCGCTTTTTGTGATTTCGCTAGTACCGGTGCATGCTGTAGCCGATGTTGTTTTTTAACTGATGCTAATCAACAACCAATTAATAAATGTTGCTAACAAGGTTTTTCTTATTAGAATACATAGAATCATATCTATTAGACCGGGAAAGAAAAATTTTTGTATTCTCTTAAAATTTTAATATTGAACTTATTTATATGTATTTTTTTTTTTATGGTATATCATATCATATGATATGTAATTGGTATCCAAAAATAAATTGTTTATAGAATACATTATTATAATTTTCTAAAAAATGCCCTTTTAATACGGTATTTTTTTTTTTGTGTAAAGCAATGATTTTTCAACTCAAAATAATGTTATGTCAGCGTAAAACTCGTGATTCAACTGATTCGTGTTTATTACTAACCATCATGCAGATAATAACGGTTATACTATGCGTCTTCATTTATTTTTTTAATTCGTGCATAAACCTGATATAGACATACGTACTGTACAGTCTCGTCGGAAAGTAACGCCCGATTCACAATTACATAGTAAATTACATATATAAAATGAATTCCGTATTTTATAATTAAAACGGTTCTTGCATTTTGACTTTCCCAATGTTCAAATATCATTTATTTAAAAGGATATGATATTGACTTTAAAATGATATAAAATTTAGAAATAATTATTAAACGAAATATAAATATATATGCATCTTAAAATCATCTATTATTATATGTAAAATTTTTTTTCAGATCTAAAAAAAAAACTTTTTTACATTATAATTAAAATAGCTCTTGCATTTTAACTTTCCCAAAGTTTAAATATCACTTTTCTAAAAAAATATGATATTAGCTTTAAATTAATATAAAATTTAGAAATAATTATTAAAAGAAATATAAATATATAGTATATACACAGGCGATCGCGATAAATCGGATCTTCGATAAACCGGATTTGGTATTATTTCGGATTTTTCTCCCGGAACCAAATCTGCCATATTACAGCTGTTTTCATAAGACCTGGGACAAACTAAATTTTTGAACCCGACTGCCGAACCGGTATTTTTAGCTGGACACGTGACGGATCGGTGGGTCGGCGGCGGTCGGGTTCAAAATTTATTTTGTCCCAGGTCTTATGAAAACAGCTGTAAAACAATCGCTATATACCGAATTTTATTAGTAAAGTCGCGATATTTCATAAGTCGGATTTGATTCTATATCAGTTATATCAAAAAAATATTGATATATCGAATTTTTCCAAATTTGGCGTTAACAATGTATCCTTTTTTAGCATACCTTTATATTATTGTAATTTTAAAAACATGCTTAATTCCAGCTGAAATGGTTAATTTTGACCAGAATCATTTTATACCGAAATTCTTTACAAATATTGCATACAATTTTACCATTCTTTTTTTTTTTAATATTTTAATCAAAGTTTGGAAATAGCTTTATTTTCTGTATATCTTGATATACCGGATCCTAACATAATTTTCATATAAAATCCGGTATAAGAAGATTTTTTGATATATCGGATATCTTTCGCCTGTGTATAACAGATAGTTCTTTTATAATAATAAAATTATGTTTCGTTTTTGAATCTTAAAATTTTGAACGAAAATCACGTGATATCTTGATATTTCGGATTTTTCGTATATTTTATATAAATCCGGTTTAGCGAGATTTTTTCGATATATCGGATGTCTTGATATATCGGATATTTTTACTGGAACCAACTGATTCGATTTATCGAGATTGCCTGTGTATTTACGTTTTCTGAATTCTGATTCACTTTTTTTCCGTTCATTTATTAATTTTTTGATTGGAATTTTTCTTTTTCCTACATCATACATTTGAATTGCATGATGGAACGTCTTAGCGTTATTTCTGTATTTGTTGTTTATGTTGTTTGACAACTTATTTATTATTTGAAAGAAAGGAATATTTTTATTATTATTATTATTTTTTTTTGAGTACAAAAGTTCCGATGACAAAGAGTAAAGTAGCCACAGCCGCAAATCCAATGTTTAGTTCTCATTTCTTACGAAAGTATAATTCCCATACCAAATCTTGTGATTTGTATGACTTTCTTTATAGAGAATTAAATAAATAATAAAATAAAAATAAAAATAAAAAGAATTTTTTTCTTTAGTCATAAAGAAAGTTCCTAATTTATTATTTTATTTATACAGTATGAAGATGAATTTCCTGCAAAAATTGCAAAAATAAAAATGCACAATCATGAACAATAAGATGAAGTGACTTATGATTGTAACTTAAAATTACTATTTTTCGATTTATCATATATTTGTATCGTATTATATCTCTTAAGAAACGCCTAACTGCGACATATGGTCGATATATGAATCTAACCCAATTTTTCATTAGATCTTTCTTGAATTTTCCCGATAATAATAAAAATTTTTGCGCCGTGAAAATCATTGATATCCACAGTTCCCCGTGATATAACTATTACTATAGGAACATGCTGATTTTATTTGACCGATATTTTCATTATCGTACAATATTGATATTAATAATTTATTTGCGAATATCGATATCTACTTTGGTCTGAAAAATAAAATTGAAAAAATATGATAATATTTTTATAATTATGCAACATATTTATTGAATGTATTATTATATATCCATTTTAAAAAATATTTTAATATGTATATTTTTACGTACATCAAAGTTTGATCGATAAAACAAATAGGCAAATCACATGTTGGGTTAGATATACTGCAGATGTTGTAACTCTATGATTATTACGTCTCTGCATTTTATCACTATATGCCATCTCACCATCTGTAAATGTTATAGAGGCGTATGCACGTAAGTTAAAGTTTTGTAATTTGACATAAATTATTTAGATTCTACTGTATGTTAATTTTCAAAATTTATTAGAAAATTCTAATATATTTAATTAAAATAAAAAAATAAATTTATTCTAAACAATAAATTTCTTTCATAGGTACATGTTTAGTTGAACTTTACAAACGTTTCCATATCGCTATCATGAAAAAAGAGAGCTGAGGTTAAGTAATTTCGAATCTACAGTACAATTCGAGAGATTAACAAATGAGTTAAAAAAAAAATAAGCAATGCACTATTTCTGATTCACACCTACCACTACAATTCATTTTAACCACATTCAATTCCACCTCATTTTCAAGAAATTTGTTATTATAATAAATGTATTTTGATTTTATCGCTAGTAAAATAATGAGTGAAACATCAAGGATTTGAACGTAAAGATGCTTATATAAGATAAATTTTTTGATGTATTGCGCAAAACTTTTGCTGTGCCGTTGCATGTGATGTGAAGAATCGATTCATGTGAATAATCTCGCTGCATCGTATACTTTTTTCCTTTTATGTATTATATTTGATTCAATGAAAATCATTATTAAGGTCTAGTGATTTATTGGCCATATAACTACTTCCTTATCCAATAAATAATTAATACAAATCTGCAGTCAGCTCTCAATATAATGAACACGATAACGAATTACATTTAACGTCAAATATTATAACGAATCAGCCAATTAAATTCCTTAAGTTCTATATATTACAATGCTATAAAACATCAGATGTTGTTTTCTTTCATAAATAACCTCAGGTGTTATTATGCTATCTAACGGTTTATCTGCAGGTCCACAAAATCCAAGGTCGCCAATATACTAATTAAACGAATTTGAAGAGGGTTCATTATATTGAGAGAACTGTAAATTTTAACAAAAAAAAAAGAACATTCTGATGCATTTTGTGATCAACCAATTATATTTTATTTTTTTGGTGCACATACTCAAAAAATTTATGATTGGCTATTTGGGACGTTAAAATATTTGTTCATATCGACCGATTTTTTGGAATGCTAACCAAATTTCGCCTTGAACTTTAAAAATCAAATAAATCAAATATAATAGTAAAATACGCTGGCATATGATTAAAGGCCTGGACCGGTCTATGGTAAACGTGCGTCGATTCCAAAAGTATTTGTTTTTTTTAATCGTGCGAAAAGAATAAAGAAAAATAATGAATCTATTTAAAGCTATCCTATATTTAATACTATCATTTAGCCATATAGGCTCATAGAATAAACTTTTTTTTAAAAAAAAAAATTTACGCACCATTGTGCATAAAATATATCATTATAATGTAGAAAATAGAACAAATTGAATATAATTTTTTTTATGCATGATTGTATGTCAAAATAATAGATATTAACTTTTTAAACTTTTTATAAACTTTTATATATAAACTTTTTTGACTCTCAATACAAACATTAAAAAAGCTAATTTATTGTGTAGGATATACTTGATAATAGGATAAAACGGTGCAGTCCAATTATCAAGTATACCTCATCTATTTAAAGCTATCCTATATTTAATATATCATTAATTGGGCTGTCTATTTTATTCTTAGTTTAAGGCGTAATGTAGTCAATTATAGGATTAGAAAGCTGTTCTCGTATCATACCTGTTTTCATTTTGAATTGTGTGATCATGGAAAATTCAAACTTTTCTTATATAAAGAATCTCCTTTCAACCTCTTTTTTTTTTTGAAATAAGCGCAACTCGTGATCCTAAAAATCATGCGACCTTCTTACCACATTCTACATTCCGTTTTCATATTCGCTTTATTGATTTCTTATAACCCAACACTTTGCAAGAGATACAAGTATTCTTTAGAAGAACTTATCAATGCCCCTTTGTTTTGGCTTGAACCAGCGCAAACTGCCTTTAATCTCGATATTGAACCCATAAGTTATCCTGATAAATGTGAATTAAAACAATTACATTTGAATACTAGACACGGTAATTTTTTTTTTATTTCATACAAATGTTCAAAATTACAACATAAAATAATCTTTCTTTTAAAATTGATTATCAGGAGCGAGACTTCCAGATGCAGATGATATTAGTGCTTATGATAAATTGGAAAAAATATTTGCAGATGTTTCTATTGCAAAAGAATGGGTAAAAATAAAACTCAATGAATTTATATGATATTTAATAAAATTTTTTGTCTTACAGTATTTATCAAAAAAAAAATTAGTATAAAAATCCTTTCCTATTAAGGGATAATTTTCAATTGGTCAAACGAGGAGAACTCGAACCTTATTTTGATGGGTTACAAAGTCGTAAAAGATACCCAAAATTTTGGAAAGGAGTTAAATATAATCCCGAAATTACAAGATTTCAAAGTTCAGCTACTTCAAGGTACAATATAATAGATATATGATTTTTCGTTTATGATTGGAATTTTATCTCATATTTTTAATACAATATATATAAAATACAATATCAATTGTATAACATAAAAGAGCTGGTGCGTCATCAATGGCGTTTTCTGAAGGATTATTTAATGGCGAGGGCCCTTTAGATACCTGTAAAAGTAGACCCGTGTATATTTGGAGTTTACCAACGGTAAATATTTTTTTACTACACTTACGTCATTTTATAAAAATCTTTTTTGGTTAACATATACTCCTTATATATAATTCTTGTATAGGAACAAGATTTTATATTACAACCACATCTTGCCTGTGCACGCTGGAACCAGACCGTTTCTACTAATAATAAATTACTCAATGAACAAATTTATTCCTATGGCAACAAGACTCTAAAGCCAATTGCCAATCGTTTATCCAAAGAATACAATATCAACCCACCTCTTGATCCACATCTATTACCTTTTTTTTTTACTTATTGCCAATTTTACATCGTTCAATTCCATCGAACTGACACATGGTGTTCATTATTAAGTCCTAAAGAACTTCTATTATTACGATATTATTGGGATCTTCGCTCATATTATATATTGCAATATGGTAATCCTCTTAATAAACGACTTGGCTGTGGTTATTATACTCAACTTGTAAATGGAGTTGATGATTATTTAAATGGGAAATCTGAGATGATAGCAGATATAAAGAATTCTCATGGATTTACTTTACTTATATTGTTCACTACATTGGTATGTGAAAAAGCTTCGTTTTCAAATTTTCAAATTTCATATATATATATATATGAATATATATTTTATTCTTCATTTTTGATGATAATATATATTATAATGTTATAATGTTATCTTTTTAATTACAGGGAGTATTTAAAGAAAAAGAACCACTCACAGCAGATTTCACCTATGAACAAATCAAAAAAGTCAGGTTTACAGAATATGTATCTGTACCTTGGTCTTCTACGTTTTATTTTGAAATTTATACTTGTTCCGATGATCACAACAAAGTATTGATACGAGCGTTACTTAATTTTAAACCGTTTTTGATTCCGGGTTGTGAGAGTGAGTATTGTGAATGGAACAAGTTTAAGGAGATTCTCGGTGATAAGATCGGATGCGATTTTAAAAAGATGTGCGCTTTTCCTTAATAGAAAATTTAAATAAGAAAGATAGAGATTTGTTAAATTTATTACGAAACCTGTTTCATCTATGTAAAAATTAATGGTCGAGACACGGCCATATTCCCGATATATCGATACTTTATTTAATGAAATAAAAAACGTTGCCGAAACCCGGATTATTGTACAGTACATAAAATTGCGAATACGTTTTTACATGATGTAAAAAAAATCTACCTACTCTATTCGGATGTGAATACGAACCTCATCATCAGGCGTCTCGTTAAAGTAGGAAAAAATTCTATCTTCTGTTCATATAGGCTTCTCTTTAGGATAAATTTGTGGGAGAAATCGTTACGATTGATTGATCCTAATTCCCCCTCTTACTTCATTTTCAAGATCAGAAACTTTTTTATCCTTAGAAACCTCAAGCGCGAAAATTATATTTCGGAAATTAAGACTGATGATATCATTATCTGCACTGGAAGACATCTTGTTTTGCTAAATACAAGGGCAATAGTGAGAAAAACTCGTTTGCATATAAGCATGGCTTTCTGGCATAATACATACCTTAATTTTTCGAGAGAAGAAAGTTGAATGAACTTCCACATATTCTACATATTCTACACGCTTTATATCTTGCTGGGAAAAAGAGATAAGGAGAGTGATTAGCATTATCGTGTGATGCCAAGAGCTCTATGAAAGCACATGAAAACGGAATTTTGATTCCTTTGGAATAAAGATCGCAAGATCAAAGTTGGCTAACCCGTGTAGATCTCGGAAATTGCGAGTTCCTAAGCCCTCTACAACACATTAATATTATTACTAATATCAATAAGAATAAGAAACACTACTCACTTCACTTTTCTAGCCTATACAGTTCTCAAACTGCGACTGTCCTCATTGTGAAAAGCGTTTGGCGTTTTCTTGAATGAGACGAATGAGATGAGATGAAATAAATATTATATGCGAAAATTAATATGTCGCACAGACATAACCGTCATTACATCATTGCGCAGAATTTCGTGTGATACCTTCACGAGCTGAAGATCAACACTCTGGAGGTATTAAGTTCGGAGGTGGTCTGTAATTTTGATGTAAATTGACAATTCCATCAGATCGGATCAAATTCTGAATATTGGCCAAAAGGACCGGTGCTAGATTTTGAGTCAGAATTAGAATTTGAAAAAACATGATATTGGAAATACCTGTATGTCTAAACATGGATATTTCATATTTGGATAAGCAGCTGATCTACGGCTATTTGGTAATTTTATCATACCCGGAGTGATACTTTATTAATGACGTAAAAAAAAATAGCGACAAAGTCACTTATTTATCATAGGTAGAATTGTCGCAATTCACAGGCCTACATTTTAATGTTAAAAAAAAAAAAATTAAAAGTGATTCCTTATATTATTTCCGCGGGAAAATATTTAGTTAAAGGTAAAAGAAATAAGTTGTATCCGGAGACTGCTCGTGATATTTTATCAGATCAACAAATTATTGACTGCAAATATTCATTGTTTTAATATATAACAAGGCCAAGATTTTTCTCATGGATTCATCTTAAGCACGATCATTCAGTGTGCAGTATCTTCAAACTATGAATTAGTAAAACAAAATTTACGTGGTAAATAATAAAGTATTAATTTATAATCCGTAAAAGAACCGGAGAAAACTGGGAATCTAACTGTCTCAAATTGACTGAATAATGCATTAAAACTTGAAATAAAGGTTTCTTGGAAACAGTGTTGAAGCCTTGGAATCTAATTTCCCAACATATTCTCAGCTTAGTCAGTTTTTAGTTCTCTGTAAGAGAAAGACTTCTTCCAGAAGTCATGATTTTTCATCACTCATGGAATCACGAATTAAATGAAGAATTTAAATAAATTTTATTTAGTTTGATGTAATACAATTATACAATATGTAAATTTGAGAAATCGAACAAATATATTTAATTTGGTTTGTGATAAAATATTGTTTAACAATGGTATCAATAATATTACATCTATGGATTAGATAAGTATACGAAAATTTAAATACATTAATCAAAATAAGTATAATACTATAATTTCTTTAATGTTTTCATAATGATAAAAATAAGAAATAAAGTAATAAAATACTATATAAATACTGTAGACTTGACTACATAACCATCTTTTACATCATTTTCATACAAATGGGCCCATTTGCATCCGAGCTGCACGTTAAGCCTTGTTCACAGCAACCGGTACCGCAAGGTGGATCAGCAGCCTCACAAGCAGTGCCGGGGCATAAGTTTTGAGAATCACATGGTACGTTGGTAGGAGGACATATGCAAGTGGCGGGGGCAGCAGCATCTTGCCTTTTAGTTAATGCTCCGATCATGATTCTTGGATTAGGTCTCGCAGAAAGGTAGGTTGCAGAGGCAAGAACGAGTAATAAAATGAGATAAAGATTCTTCATGATTATTATGATGATTATAATATGATAATAATTTAGATGTTTGAATGTATTTTATCGAATAATTATTTTTAATATTTTGTGGGAGTTAGTGAGAATTAGCGAGTTCATAGCGTGCGTATTTATAAGTGAAGTAGGTTTCACAGTTTTTACTTTTTGTCTTGTTACATTTTAAATACGAAACAACGGAGATAATTCAAAACTTGTCTCTCCCTATAATATCACAGTACATTATCACGTGTTTTGTAAAATAAGTTTGATAAATTAAACTTTTTTGGTTAATTTACACTTATCGGACTTATCGGAATTTCGGAGATCAAGAAAAGATGTTTATTGAAACATGCATCCTGTTCAAAAGCCACCGAGTTGCATTAATCAATCAGATTAATATTGAAACGAATAATGTTATATTATTTTTTATTTCAACTAGTAATATTTCAGAAGAAATATTAAACAATAACGATGAGAAAGAAGTACTATTGAGAATACTTTTTTTAACAAAATCTAGACACAAAAATTATGTAATTCATCTTTTACATTTTTCTTGTTAGCCTTTATTAGGGTATTTATGCATGGAATGCAATCAATGCAGGTTTCTTGGCAAAAGTGATCGGCATAAATATGGCCCACTTGATCAAGTGAGTCAAATCCGCCCATATGAAGTTCATATAAATTTTGAAACGTTAACTCCGACAGTAGAATCGTTCCTATAAATTCGCAATGACGAACCTCACAGAAAATCATCACATTATTATTATAATTCACTAAGTATGTGGCGCAACTAGGAATCCTGTTGGCAGATTTTATCATGCAGATCGTGATGAAAATTTGACCGTTAAAAAGAAGTCAATATCAATTATAAGAGGCTTGAGACGTCGAATGTGAAGTGTTTTGGTCTTTATGACTTTAATTACCGTTACATTCGTACATAATTTGAAACCTAGGGGTAAAAACAGATTCTGAAGTCGGTTTGTATAACGATGTTAGTACCCGAGCTGCCATATATAGGTAACAAGAAAGGTCGAAATTTTTATAATAGCTCTACGTAAGATTTTTATTAAGATAAATAGGTGTGTGACTTCACAAATTTCCCAAAAATAAGCAATCTAACCATTATAATACCATATTTTTTACAAATATTATTTGATCAAATTTTCTCGCATTTATGATTTACAATTTCACTTTTTCAATAGTAATATCATCTTAGCTAAAATATCTGTCTTAGTAATTTTTTTCATCCCCTATTAACTTTTGCATATTAGTATATTACCATCGCTTATATTAGATGTTATATAATGCATTATTAGATAATACCAAATTTACTCAAAAAATAAGCAATTGTAACATATGACTTTTCAAAAATTCTGTGAAAATAAGCAAATGAAAAATATGACATTGGCAAAAAATATCATTAATTTTACGCAAATCCAATCTCTGCTAAAATAGCATGTGACTAAGTAAATGATATTGTTACCTATACATATATTGCTCGGGTCCTACAATATTACTTTAGATACGTAAAATAAAACCCATTTTATTAATAATCTGACCATGGCTAAAAAATTCTCAGATTGTACGCAAATCAATAGCTAACCCTGTAAAAGCCCTAAATTATTTCTATTATAGTTCTGTAATAATTCTTTTATTAGGCTTATACTAAAAACAAGGTTTTTAGTAAAGTAGAAATAGGTATAGTTAAAATCAATTTTGATCTACATAAATACTACATATGTTTGTGCCAGTATGTCATAGTCAAAAAAATTGGGTGTTACAACTGTTACATGTGTGAAGTATCGGGAATTACGAGTTCGAGATATTTACCATCAGCATCAGGATTCCGTTCTTGCACTTTCCTTTTTTTTGATAATAATCTCCTATATGAATTTTTTGATGAATTCTCAAGACGATAATGAATCCTCTCCTTGAAATAAATGGATAATCTCACTTAAAAAATTTTATTTATTACAGCGACTCTTATCATAAATCATTAATTTCGTTTGATTAAGCATATGGAAGATTCCTTGAGCACGGAGTAATAAATACTTACTAGAATGTGATTTTAATTAAATTTCACGAGAGTAAAAGAATGGCCAATAAAAGGTTAATCAATTTAATTAAGGTACGGTAGATAAAGATAAATACTCAAGATATCCCGTTGGCTCTTTCATGGTTCCCTTGTTAATCTTAAAATAATAAATAATTTAATAATTTAATTAACTATCTATCAATATTAATTTATTTTTAGTCATATCATAATTAAAATGATTACAAATTTACATAAAATTTATACTAATAATTAATTAATATTTTCAAATAAACTTGAAATATTTTTTTCGATATTTACTTTTTTTAAAAATTTTTTGAAAATGTAATAGTGAAACAATATTAAAATTTATGGAAATATTTTATGCATTATCGGTACCATGATTTATTCAATCACCAAGATTAATCTCGGATATATAATGGTACCATAATCGGATTTTTCTACAAAACCTTTGTTTATTCGTATACTTTTATTTAAAGAGTACCCCATGCTATACTGTATAAATCATTTTCATTATATTTTTATATGAGACATTTTATAACATAAAATAAATAATAACTTGTAATTTGCACAATTTGCACATATACATAATAATATTATATACTGTATATATAATTTTTGTTTGATAATACTATTTTTATGTAATTTGTTCGAAGCTTTAGCTGAGGACATTTACGGTTAGACTCTCTTCATGCAAGGTATGTCTGTCCGCACGCGTAATCCACCAATCATTTTTGTTGTCGTGCTAACACGCTTTACTCCTTTTTAGTATCACCACTATTACCACTCGGTCCGCTCCTACCTTCGCCGTGTACACTCCGTGTACGTCTAAATTTGTTGTCTGTGCTACTTGCGATTCGGACATTCCAACGGTTTCCGTTCTCCTAGTCATAAAACTTAAAATATTTTAACTTGTATAAAACAAAAAAAAATTATTTGAAAACAATAATGTTATTATTAATTATTTTAAAAAAATTTCTACTTCAGACTACAATTCTTCTTTTTGTGCCACATTAGTTATTGGAAATCAGTATTAATACGAAAAGGAAAAAAAAAACCAAGAAAAAAAATTTTTTTCACTTATGTTTGTAACAAATGACTCGTTTTCATTGTTTAAACACCAGTCGCCACTGGATATAACGAACCCTCAGGTTTAGTTCAGTATAGAATGAATTTGGCCGTATATAATATACTGAACTTGGTTTTTCAGCCTTGGTAATTCGGGCCAATATGTAATGCCGGCCAGAATTATAACAAAGCGAACAAGAAAGACTATTAATTCTGGCCAGCACTATAAATCTGGCCCGAATTACTATATAGTCACGTGACTGTTCAGTATAGGATGGGCTGTTCGGTATACAGTATATAGCATTTTATTATAAAAATTCGTTATAACCAGTGTAATAATTATGAAAAAATCGGTTCTGGGAGTCTTGGTTCAGTATAACGAGTTTTCGGTATACAGTCAGCCCTTTCTATAGTGAATTTTGATATAATGAATTTCACGATATAACGAATCCTTAGTGTGGTACGCATTTAATCATATGAAAAAAAATTTATTCCACCGAATTTTACTAATAAAATGCAGTATAACGTTGAACGAAGAAAAATTTATAAATTCACATACAGTATGTAAATGACCCTTTTATACCGAATTTCTTTTAAAACGAATTTTTTTTTTAGTATAACGAAGATTTTGCAAGATAAATTTTAATATAAAAGGCAATTTGATGTTGATTTTATGATTTTTTTTTTAAATAAGCAATTTTACCACTTTTATTCATTTATCAAAAGATGGGTGGTTTATGTTTCAAAAGTTTCCTTTTCCTTTCATGATCATGACGTTTTACAAATGTATTGATTTCCCTATATTTTATTATATTATACCAAATTTTTCTGCTATACCGAATAATCCGTTATAGCATTAACGAATTTACTTATAACGAAGGCCTGATCGGCCCGGACGCCTACTTCGTTATACCGAGGGCCGACTGTATACAGGTTCGGTATAACCAGTGGCGACTGTACTTCATCAAATATATAAATCAATGAATCATAGAAATTTTCAAAAACGAAAAAAAAAATCCTTTTTTTCCTAATTCGGTTCTTATTTCGAAGAAAAAAAAACTTCTTTATTAGTGAAGTTTATAATTTAATAATATCTTGGGAGAACAAAAACAATAAAACGTTCGCTAAAAAATTCGATTCGAAAAAAAAAAAAATTTTAAATACCTTTTTAAAAATTTTATTAACAACATTTAAAAAAAGAAATTCTTGATCATACAAATAGAATTCTTTATAAAGGAAAAAAAAAATGGAACAACCATCAGTTACTTATTCCGCCACTCAATCTATTGAACTAACTCGGTCAAATTCATAACTGGTCTGTTACTAATATTATCTCCTCTTATAAAGAAATTTGCAATAAACTTGACATCTGTCAAGAAAAATTACATGAAGAACACGAACAAAAAAGACAAAAGAAACTCAGAAAAAGTTCTTCCATTTCAAAGAAACTCTCTCAGAAAGCTGTATGACAATCACAACAATCTCAACGTGGGGAAAATAATAATGTTGTTACGATAGGAAACTTTAGCAACAAATTGCTTTACGCGTAGAAAAAAAGCATTTAAGATTATTCATATCTTTTATAGAAAAGATTTACAATAATTTACCAGTTTATCCCAATCCCATAATTCATGGGTTTCTTTTAAATTAATGGTGGATCTCTTCCCGGAATCAATGTCACACGTGTCCTGCTCTTTTGCTGGCCACATTTGGGTAGCCAATACCTTTACTTTACTTGGGCTTCGGCTCGAGTCCCTTTCGAGGGCAAAGTACTGGTATTACATGTGTGACCGGTTTTTACCAATACTAGCGGGTTTGGGTAAAGTGAAAGAGACAGAAATTTATTTAACTTTTAAACTTTAAATTATTTTTCGTGGGAACTCAAAATTTAGTGAGGGAGATAATTCGTGTAAAGAACGCTTTATGGAGATGTATAGGTTCATCAGTTGGTTGTTTTAGCAAAGGAAACAAATTTGTCTCTCCAAAGACTTTGAATGGTAAGTTTTAAGAAAGAAGAATGAAAAGAAAATGATTTTTTTTTTCTTTCCGCTTTAATTTTAGTGTAAATACTTTGGGGGACATTATAAGTCAATTTATTTATTTTCGAATTAGTGTGATCGACAAATTTTTTCAGCTGCGGAAAAGTGATCATGTGTAAACCATAAATGTTATAACTACCCACCAAAAAATTTTCGGTAACGTGACTTTGTACTACTAGTCTAAAAATAGTAGATATATCTATGAAAGTAATATTTTCACAGTTCAGTTCTTACTTTTCAGTTCTCACCCAACTGTTTTGTATTTACGTGTTTTTTCCAGTAATTCACCTTGAAATATATATTATTCTTTTTTATTATAGTTTATCGTATTTATTTTGTTGTGAAAATAAAAACGCGTTTTTTATATTAAATACAAAATTTATAAATTTATTTACAACCTTGAGAGTATAAAGATGAACTATCAAGTTTTGAATAAGAATAAGCTTTTTCCATTTAATACATTATAAAATTATCTTTTTATTACTATTATTAAATTATATAAATGACACGAAAATTTATAATTGATAGGAAATATTTAAATTAAATGTTTCTTTATATTTTTTTTTTATAAAAACTACAAGTATTTTTAAGATAAATGTTCCCTCACTTTATTTTTTTCTTGAAAACAAGCTGCTAAGATAATGTTGTACGAAATAAATCTGACCAATAAAACTCGTCAATTCACGTTACCGAAAATTTTTAGGTATCACGTTCAAAATATTTTTTTTTTTTTTGCCGTTTGTTTCATATTTTCGCTAGCAGTGCAGTATATTTGTTCAATTCCTACGATTTCTATAATCGATTTCTATAATTGATTTTTCACGTAATTCTTATTATTATTACATTAGTGTTATTGTATTAAAAAAGTGACCAGAACACAAAATAATTGACCAATAATTATTTGGAATTACTCTTTGAAAACCAAAAATTTTTTCTGACCACCATGTAATCGTCAGCCAATAAAATCACAAATTTTGGATATAACATTATATAT